CTTATTGGTCATTGTTTCCCACAAGTATATAAAGCAGCACTAGGTACACACAAAGCCTGTGTTCGATAATTATGCACTGAATGGAGAATGGCAATTTTTGAAAATATCTCCAAGTCACCTGGAGCCAAGCCCAGCAAATCCTATATAATAAAAGCGTAACATGCAGATCGAATGAACAGCAGAATGATTGGTTGCTATGATGTGCACTGACCACCAGAGGGCAGGTGCTCAATGCAGGAAATGCCCCCTAGTGGTTAGTGTGCTCCCTCAGGGGGGGCGCTGTTCAGCCATAAGCCATAAGCCAGGCTCACAGCTGGCTGGTGGGTGGTAAGGAGTGAGGGGTCCCCAACTGCAAGAGCCCCAGACTGCAAGAGGGATGTCTGATTGCTGGCTTAGGCCCTATCCCCAGCAGGTGGGCATCCCCCAAAAGGGTCCCGACTGTGTGAGGGTGCAGGCCAGGCTGAGGATCCCTCGCCTCAGTGCACAAATCTCATGCATCGGGCCTCTAGTAATTTATATAACTGAAGTCAAAGGCACATTAAAGAATGATGAGAAGACTTCCATTTGTAGGACACAGGTTCGTTTACTTAACACTTCCCTATTATATGACAAAATTATTATTTTCCATTTTATTTGACCTTTCCTCTTAGACCAAGTATAGGGGTATGTATTATCCTAAAGGGGTGCTCCCAAAGTAGTACAAGTCAAAGCTGCATCATTTGAAAGTATAGCTCCGAAGTGAATACTCTGAAAAGGACGATCCATCCAGCTCCTTACCAGTATTTTTGTAATTATTTAAAAGAGGCTTTGTTGCATAGCCTCATCAGAATATGCCTTCAACATTACCAAAGTTTCAAGCATGAACTCATGTACAATGTTAAGTCAAACACTGTCCTGCAAGACATCCTAGAATATTGTCCAGTCAAGTTGAAAGTCCAAGAGTTAAACTGACTATTCCAAGGGTCTATCATCCTACAATGAACTAGTCATAGCAAAATGCAGATGGGGGGAAAAGGTGAATCTACAAGTGGAAGTTGCAGTGTTTTCTAAATATTGGTTTAATGTATCCTAGTGACTATAATTCTGAAATAAGCAGCTTAAAACACACACACCACACATACACACACACACTGCACAGAATTATTCTCTTTGTTTGCTTCCATTTAAGAACAGAAATCTTCAATACTCAATCCTACAAACTCTCATTTCCCGACAGCATGGCTAACATTAACATACTTAAAAGAAAAGCTCTCTGCCTTATTTTCTTTCATTTGACACCTCTACCTCTCCTAACAAATCACTTCCCAATATATCTAGGTTACTAACATCGTTATGAACAGCGGGTTCCCTGGATCCTCAATCATTTGATCAGGTAAGTTGAGGGTGAAAACAAGGTGTTTCCTTTTCTAACAACACCTGGCATTGAGTACTGAGCATTAATAGAACGGGGTCTCCACTTACACTCTGAGAGGCTGAAGGTTGAAGGTAGAACTACCAAGGTATAACTGATAGCGCACGTCTGTTTCTTGTTTACAGGAGATGGGTGTGATCTCAGTGACAAATAATTCATAAACTATGCACATTAGGTGATTTCTACCACTTCTTCCATAATATTTATCAGCAAATAGCACTGTAAGTTAGAGCTGCCATTAAAATAAATGATCCAGGCAAAACACTTTCACATAAAATAAGCTAACATTTAAAGAAAATACAAAAAGAAGTATCTTAAAAAAGATTTAGTTTCAAAACCAATAATGTTTTGAATATAAAAGTTGAAAACTCAGGCTCTTTTAAAAAATGTGTCAGTCTCTTCTCAGCCTTCATTGTCTGTGTACCATTTCTTCTCATCACACTTTCAGGATCTCAATCCTAGTCTATTTTTTTCTTCTTCTTCCTCCAATCCCAGTCTTTAAGTCTAGATACTGCATTTTCCTTTTCAAAAGAAACTTCCCATGTATGAAAATAAATGCAAACTGCTTATAATGGCTAAGTTCTATCTCTTAGTCTAAATAAACACTGATGATTTCTGAGAGAGAGGGAAGAAAAATAAAGGAGGGTACTTTTTAATAAGGACTTAGCAATTTCAGGACAGGGGTGGGAAGGGAGAAAAAAGTTAGCCACAATAATATCTAGAGACTGCTTTATAGTTTCTTAAACATTAACAGATTATCCCTTCTGAAAGGCTGGCAAAGAATTGATACCCGTAACTGTATCTGGCTGCACAGAAGGGAATGTTCCCAATCATATAAAGGACTAATAAAAAAGGAAAGACCCCTGAGAGCTGCACAGACCTAAGCCTCGGGAAGGAAGAGGATTCCAAAGCCATGAACCTCCTCCCCTAAACTGAGGGGAAATGGCACCGGTACCAACATCCTAGCTAATCGCTCCCCTCTGAGCTTAGCAGAAGGAATTCATCATTTGAGAACTAACTAGAGCTTCAACCACAAAAAATAAAAACAATGGATTCTGTACATATTTGTTTCCCACCGACATCCTCTCCACCGGCCTAGCACCCCTGCTCCTCCACAGTCTGAACAGACAGAAATTAAGAAGGCTCCAGGTATTCTCCAGTACAGGGCCCTTCTGTTCTCCTTCACACACCCTATTCCACTTTTCTAAGGAGTCCCAACTATTAGTAACTCTGAAAGAAAAAGCATTCTGACCTAGGTTGACTTTTGAAACCGAAGTACAAATGACTGGAATTAACATTTCTTTCCTGACATTCAAAGTACATTAGACTATCTCCCAGGCACTGTATGTGTCACTCAAGCAGTTTAAGTGCATGTCAAAGGACCCTAATGCTGACACCAGATCAAATTAACCTGTGAGCACTAAGAGGTTGACTGTACTAAATCTGAAACAATGACTGCACTTTACAAATTAATTGGGACACTGCTTTCATCAAGTCTCCATAAATGTGATTCCTGTAACATACAGGTACATTTCATTTGGGCACTTACCAATACCACCACCTCCACCCCCACAGCCCCCCCCCATCAACCCAGGCTCAGTACTCATTTCTCTCCTGGACCACTCTCCACTCCCTCTTTGCCTCCACCAGGCCCTACTTTCATTCCTTCCCTAGGTCAATGAGGGTCATGACAAAATGCTTTGCTAGTTAATTTTATATATAGCAAATTAATAGTTTTTATAAAGAGAACACTACATAGGTCACAAGAGATAAGTGTACCAGTTAGAAACTTCCAGGCACCTCTGATTTCAGTGGTTTCACTGACTTATCAGAACTACCCATATCTCTGAGTAGCATTAAGTCCCCACCAACTACCTAAGCCCAGAAAGCTGATGGAATCTGTGGTGGGAATCTGCTCCACCTGAAGCTACTTCTGAGGCCTAGATCTGCCTCATTTCTCCCTTTCCTCACAGGCCAGGGACACAGCTGCTCTCTGCTGGTGCTGCTCCCTCCACTCACTCACTTCTACTCTTACAGTCAAGTGAGAGGCAAGCTCTTCAACTGCCTCTTCCTCACTGCCCCCCAGAGACACTGGCCAGGCCTTTTATGGTCTAACTGGCCCTACTACCGGCCATTATAAAGAGCACAAGTTACAGTCATTACAACTGTGGGCCTTCGGGCTGTGGTTTCTATCTTCTATCCAGCTATCAACTGGCATAGTTAACAAACTTCCTTCTTTAAATGTAATTAATCTAAGAAAGCGATTTTAGACTTCAAAATTTGTGAGCCAGGACATTTTTTTCTCTTTAAGAAAAAAACAAAAAAGGGGAGAGGATAACTGACATATGGTTCAGTTTTCTTTTCTAGCACAGGACAATACAAACAAGCAAAACCTCCCCTTCTGCCAGTAGCACAAATGAAATAGATCTTTTATTACACACACACACAAATCCATCCCTTAAACCACATGTGTCAAACACAAGGCCCGCGGGCCAAATCCGTCCCGCCAGGCCTTGCAATGTGGCCCACACCGCGCTGTCATCACTGCACTCCGCTGCGTTTCCATCACAATGACAGTTTATGACTGTTCAGTAAACCATTCGGCCCGCGATTTAGGCTTGATTTTAGATTTTGGCCCCATCTCTGATTGAGTTCGACACCCCTACGGCTTAAACTATAATAAATTTACTTTTTAAATATCTCATCATATTGTTCTTTTTTTCCTTATTTTGCTATGGAGAAACGAAAACAAATTGCATCAAGTGAACAGTGGCAATTGGGAATGGTGATTTAACTTGGTCCCGTATTCAGTTATGGTAAGAAAGACAAAATTACCTCTTTATCTCAACTATACAGTTTTTTAAAAAATATTCAATCCATAGTAATCCCCGTTTCCAAAATATATGGAACAAATATTATGCCCAGAAAATGGGAGTCTGAACCTGAACCTGAGACTAGCCAGCCCACATCGTTAATAACTGATTAGATTCCTAAGGAAAGGCCTTCTCACTTAGTCCCCAAACACCATTTCTAGGAGTGTGAAAAGAAAGAGCTATTAGTTCAATATCATCAAGAAATGACAAACTGGGTCAAAATGCTGATTTAAAAATCTTTATTATGTAGTTTAAATTGTTCCAAAACCCCAAAATATATCCGGACTTCCTTGGCCTTAATAAAGAACAGCTGGGCAGTAGGACTCATTCTGTAAAACTAGGCCAAAAAGGTGACAGCAAATCTTAAATTGTGCACACCCCCCAAGATGTTTCCAAAAGCTAAAGCTACTTAAGACTAAAATTTATACAGCTAAAACCTTCTATTTTCTAGTTAATATGTAAAATATGGCTCAAATGCCATTCTTCTGAGAAAAACCCTTATCAAACTCTCCTATGGTGCCTAATGCTTCAACACAACTTAATCCAAATAAAAATGTAGGTCATTTGTTCCCTCTACAGTGAGCAGTATTTTATGAACTTCATTACAGGAGGAAAAAAAAAAATAAAAAAAAAAATCCAAGCAATAGATTTACACGGGAAATTACAATGTATCAATAGTATTACAAACTTTTAATGAATAAAAGCATTTTACTTACGATGTTCCCTGCTGAGAATGAGGGCGGGTTTTTGAAGATGTATCATATTGTTCTATGGGGGAGGGGAAAAATGATTAGAGCAGCACTGTGACGTATGTTCATGAGATTTTTTACTTATAATTTCCATTTTTTTGGTGTTCCCTCACCTTCTTCACCTAAACAGTATATTCAAATTCTGTCCACCAGGGTGCTAAACTGTACCTAGCATGATCCCCCCCTTAGAAGGGACACTATTTATGTTCCTTCTAAGGGAGGGCTTGCTCCAAGTTAAAAACCCTTAACAAAGCGCACACACTCCTAAAAGCACTGCCTGCAGCAGGCCCTGCCACTCTGTACTGCCTGCGAGGAAGGATGCCCAGGGGACTCCGGGTGGGGGCTCAGAGGGAAGCACCAGGGCAGAGCTGCTCCCATCCCACCTGGTTTCCCCTCAGGTATCTATCAGTCATTTGCTAGCACTCCATTTACAGCCTCTGTCCTTGGCCAAACCTACCGCTGATCCCTCCATTATTCAACATCTCCCACAATTTACATATTCATCAGCTACTTATAGAGTGTCTCATAGATAAGATGTTCAGGACACTTGACCCTGTCCTCAATGAGCTTCGAGTTGACTGTGGGGCATCAAATAGCACAAATACCTACAATGTTAGGCAGTGTGAGATTAAGTACACCAATTGATCATAAAGTAATTGTCCCAGGAATTAAGAGAACTGCCCGTTGGTTGATTAGAGGAGGAAATCAGAAAGGGAACCCCATGAACTGTCACAAAGGGCGGCTGAGATTCTGACAGAATGACTCTGGCAGAAGGGTGAGAAGAGGTGCAGAGAGGAGGGCACTGTGAACGGAGGTGCAGAGAGGAGGCGTAGCAGCAGCACGGATTTGGAAAGGCTGAGGCTGGGGTGAGAATCGGTGAAGAAGGACATGGAAAGACAAGCGCAAGTCAGGTTTTGGAGGGCTCAGAAGGCCAGGGTGGGAAGCTATGACTATTTGTTGAGCAATGAGACACCACCAAAGGCCTAAACAGGGTCCTGATGCAGCTATTCCTCAGGAAGAGTACTCTGGGGGTGCAGCCCGGGCTAACCTAGAAGGGAGCAGGAAACGTCAAATATGGCGGCAAACCAGTTAAGAAGCTGCTGATTCTGTCTGAACATGAGGTAGCAGGGACCTGAAACAGGACTCGAGTGGGATGGAAATATGGATGCCTTTGGGCAAGAGTGAGTGATACTTTTCACAAAGGTCATGTGGACCCTGGATATTTGCAATTAATCACTTTATCCTCATGGTGGCAGCAGCTCTTACATAATATTTTTAAATTCAGCTAGAAAGTCAGGGCCAGGACTGCAAATGAGAGGGCCTAGGGTCAGTCACCTCTGGCCATGTGCAGGGACTCCTGTCCAATCATCCTGACTGGCCCTCAGCCTCACGAGGCTCTGTTACCCGCAGGCAGGTATGTTCCCACACGTGGATGTGAACACACGAGTAAAATCCCTACACTTCATACTCTGAACTCTACAAAACTGTAAGATGGCTTTCAAGACATCTGAATTCTCTTGCTGGGCATACTTTGAAAAATATATGTCAAACTTTACTTTTCTGAAAGCTATATCCATATAAACTCTACTCCCTCTTCATCCAACACACAACTAGACCCTTTACAGTCTGACCAGGCTCCACACAGACCACATCTCCCCAAGGTCAACAAGGTTCCACAGAACACCCACAGACAAGTGGTGGCAATGAGACCCCAAGGTGGTATCGGTGAGCCAAGACCTATAGGAAACTTCTCATCAGAGAAGCAAAGAGTGGCCTGCATGAGTCCACAGGCAAGGGGACACCCATACCTGGACAAGGAAGCACTTACTGGTCCATCTTCAACTATATTGCTAAGCGGGGAAATCCATTTAAAGGATGAGCAGGCCCTTCTAAACCAGGAGCTAGCCATCAAGCTGTGAGTGACCCAGTGGGAGGCACATAGCTGGCAGCCAGCAAGTGTGGGTACAGGGGCACCGTAGTCCTGTCCACAGCTGAGCTGGCAGCCTACCTGCAGGCCCGCACCACTCCACCAGCTAGCGATCTCTGCCTCAGCCGCCAAGATGCTGAGAAAAAAGATTTCCCAATCTCCCCAAGCAGCCATTGATTTCTGTCCATTTTATCTTGCTACTTTATATAACACTGGACAATATGGTCAGTTCTTTGCAAGACCTTATTCAGTTCTCTAGAGCAGAAGACAAGCAAACTTTTTCTGTAAAGGTCAGACGTATATTTTACACTTTGCATGCTACACCTTGTGGCTTAATAATAAATAAGCAGGCACGGCTGTGTCCTAATAAAACCTGTACAAAAACCAGCTGCAGAACAGGTTGGCTTTGTAGGCTGTAGTTTTTCTGGCCTTCCTCTAGATCAGTGGTTCTCAACCTTCCTAATGCCGTGACCCTTTTAATACAGTTCTTCATGCTGTAGTGACCACCAACCATAAAATTATTTTTGTTGCTACTTCATAACTGTAATTTTGCTACTGTTATAAATCATAATGTAAATATCTGTGTTTCCTCTACAGCAGCAGTTACCAACCTGTGGGTCCCGACCCACAGGTTGAGAACCGATAGCAAGGTCACCTAAGACCATCAGAAAACATAGATATTTACATTATGATTCATAACACTAGCAAAATTAGTCATGAAGTAGCAACAAAAATAATTTTATGGTTGGGGTCACACACAATGAGGAACTGTATTAAAGGGTTATGGCATTAGAAAGGTGAGGACCACTGCTCTAGAGGAAGGATGCTCTGATTCTTGCTTTTCTCATCTTTTTACTCTCCTCACATCCAATTAAAATGGTAGAAAAATCAAGAGAGAAAAATGCAAGTGATGAAAAGGAATGAGATGGAAAAGATGAAGGAAGAGTCACCTCCACGGAACATCTACCTCTGAGGTCCCTCTCCCCACACAACCTACTGTGGTCCCCATTCTTTGAAGACTAAATCTTTAGAACTTGGGCACCTACTACACAGTATTAAAATACTCTAGTCGATTTTATAAGATATGAAATGCCTTGCATATAGTTGGGACAAAAAGAATCAAAATTACTAATAAAGAGAAGAGATGGATAAAGTTAGCTTTTTTCCATTTATCTCAGAATTTTCAAGTATTTACAATCCATAAAAGGGGTTAAAATTTTAATTATATGGCAAATACACACAGAGGGACTAAAGAAGCTGTGTGCTGCATTTTTTATAAAAATTTCTTACTTTTGTATCAAGAAATAAAAGAACCACACAAAATATCCCAACTTGGCCTATACAAGGGCAAGCAAAACTAGGGTTACAGTTGTTCACATGGAAAGACATGCAGGTTATGAGTATTACAAAAGCTTTATCAAACCAAAAAGCTTTATCATTCACAACTGTAAACCTATATTTGCCCACCCTTGTATACAATTCCTGGATTATAATGCTTGAGAATCTTATTCAAGATATTGATCACATGTCAGGTAATACCAAATTACAGATGTTAAGGACTTTACTAAAACAGATTCATGAACACTTTGCAACAATCTGAAATTCTACCTAAAGAGCAGCTTTATATTGGTCTTACATTCCCATTCTTTCAACACAAGACGCCTCATCTCTGCTGGGCATTTTTCATTAATGTTTTTTCCCCCCTTTAATATCAAAACAGTGAGAACCAAGCTTTGTTCTCCAGTGCAATAATCAGTTCCACATATTTACTTACTTTGGTTTTGGGTTGCAGAAATGATGTGCTGAGAATCCTATAAAGAAAAAGATTAAAAAAAACAGTTAAGGTTTATAAAATTAAGGTTGCATCAAGCTAAATCTATTAACCACTAATAAGTCTAATTTTTACACAAAATAGGTTTTATGGCTTCTCTTCTTTACTAGTTCATTTTTCCTTTAGTATTGAGCAAAGATTTTTTTAAAAACAAAGTGTATATGATATTTTACTTTGAACATGAACCACCTTTTTAAAAAACTATCATTAGAAAATATGCCAAGTATCAAATGTGGCAAATACTAATTTGAGAAAACATAACTTTTTTTTACAACAATGCCATGGAAAGGAATGGCTTTAATATATTAATAATGTGCATGCATATATCAGGTTAGACAGAACACCTTTTTAATAAAGGTATTTCTACATTCTGAAGACTATCCTAAAGTACAACGCCCCCCAAAGAAAAATGGTACTATTTTTATGTTATTTCACTGCTCATAAATACTGCAACAGAAACACCTGTCAGCTGTTGATTTGCTTGTTCTGAAACCAGCACAACTGTAGCAGATCATGTTAAACTTTAACAAAATTTAAGAAATGTAAGTAGTGTAAGATGCATGTACGCATGTATGTAGGTATGTATGTGTGTAAATGTTTATATCTCCATTCTAAACTAGGAATCAGACAACCCACCTCACTTATTTTCCTGTACCTCTGTTTTCCCATCTCTAGGGAATGACTCTCAAATGAGAGGATTTATTGGAAAGTACTGAATGCTTTCATAAGCTACAAAACCCTATACAATTACTATTATAAAAAAATTAGACATAATTTAGATAAGTGTTTGAAAGCATTAGAAAGCACTTTAGAAGTCAAATTAATTGTGATTTTAACATAATTGCCAAAGAGTTCAGCAAGTAGCAGTTGACTAATCTGGCTCACAGCAATCCCAGACTGCACTCTGGGTGCAGTGCCTGTGGCACCGAGGGCATTACCTTGGTGGGAAAAGGGAATTTGGAGGGCTCAGCGGTACTGGGCGTATGTATTGCTGTCAGAGGAGGTGGCCACGAATGGGTCATTTCCTGAAAAGAGATTTGGGGAAGGGAGAAAAAGCCAATTATAAATAGAACACATTGCTACTGAAGCTAATTGTGTAAACAATGCAGGGTGGATTGATGGTAAGTGAAAAAGCAAAACTGAAAGTTATTTCATTTACTTTTAAAAAATCTCCTACTGAAAGGGCTATGCTCAAAAGCTGAAGATCTCCAACTTATAAAACTGAAAAGAAAAAAATCAGCATGAAGGAGAAAAACAAAAGCATACAACAGTCTTAACACTGAATACTGTAAAGTGTACACACGGGTGTAGGTATTACCAGAGCTTATGTAACTGCGAAAGAGGAGCCCCTGCTCAATGCTTTCTTTCTCCCCCAGCTTCTTTATTGCATTTCCTGGAATTATTTAAGTTCAAAGGAAGAACTTTCCTATTTGACTTAAGTAAACAAGTAATTTAGGTCACTTGTTCCTCTTGGGAGAGTTTTAATGGATTTGACCCTTCCCTGATGCACACTATTAGTACATAAGGACAGTGTGGAGGAGAGAGCCTTAAAAAATCACCTCCCTTTCCAAGATCAGAAGTTTAATTTCTATTTACTCATAGAAGCAAGGTTTCTAAATCTCACAAATTAATATATTTACTTTGCCATGAATTCTTTTTTCTAAGCACATTCATGAGTTGTATTTTACTTTGTTAAAAACAATGTCAGATTAAAGGTGTCCAATCACAAATACGTACATGTGTACGTACACACACACACTTTGTCAAAGAGCTAAAGTGGCACGGGGGTCATTAACTCCAACCTTCCCTTTTACCAATGAGAAAACTGAGCTCCAAAATGACTGAAAGGAAGCCAGTGGCTGACAGCACAGGGTATGGGCCTCCTGCCTTTCCTGTCTAAATGAAAAAACCAATTCCCACATTTTTGGCCAAGAGCAGAGAGGACTTTTTTAACACTTTTGACAATCTAACATGGAGTGACTGTCAGCCGTGCCAGTTATGTCAAGAGCTATGTCGACTGAGGAGATCTGGGGAACAGGAACGGCCAAAACCACAAGTCTGGACACTGGGAGAGGGCCTTCAGGTCAATAATGATATGGAGTGGGACCTCTGCCCATTGGTACTATAAGAACTCAGAGCTCCGACCTCCAGGCGCTTGATGTACTAAGTCACGACTGGAGCCCTGACTGACTCCCACTCCATCCGACAGGGGCACCCCTGTAGCTGCCTGTCTTGGGACCTACATGCACCTCTCCACTGCAGACAGCGCCAGTGAGCGGGACTTTGCACTGGATGCTCGCTCTGCTCACTTCTAGCTGCCTGTAACTCTGCTGTCTTATTGGGGAGGTCTCTGTGGAAAGACACAAGCATGTGTGGGTGACTCCTTTAAAGGATGCTCCCTTGCTCATGTCATCATGTGTGTTAGACCTGACTGGCAAACTGGCTTAAGGAGTGACAGGCAACCCTCTACCAACAAGCTGACCACCCTAGACCAGGCTGTAATATCTCCTCCTCTGCGTAACACATTGTGTACTGCAACACTTCCTTCTTTCCAAAGTGCTCACCAGCCTTTCTCTGACCACTCTGACCACAGAATCGCCCACGGATCCCACCACAGCTGAACATGGTGCTCTAGTACAGCTGTCGCCAACCGGTGGTCCGTGAGGTACGAGAGGTTGGCAACCACTGCTCTAGTAGGTTATTTCCTATACCAAACTCAGTTCGCATCTCCCCTGGCCTGTCCCCACAGCCCCTCTCTGAGTCGCTACAGCCCCAGAATGGACAGAAATGGCCCGGCACAGTAATTAGCAGAGTAGCTGCTGTTGACCAACCCTCACCAGCCAAGGGAACCTGCATTCTTGGAGCTCTGTGAGCCTCAGATCTCAATAGCAGGTGGACTAAAACCACTTATTTTTCAAAGAGTTATGGGTAACTTAGGTAAAATGCCTGGATACATGATGCATAGAAAGCACTTAAATTAAAAGCATTACAACTTTTAATTAATAGTCTCGCTTTTGAAGAACTTCAACACTGCACCAAAGAGAGCTCCTTACTGTTTTATTTATTTGATACTTTAAACTGTGGGACCAGTATAATGCTACAATGTAATAATTAATTGAGAAGTCGTTTGAAAGTGCCATCCTTAAGTCTTCCAAGAATCTCTTTAGTATTCCAAGAATTTCTTTAGGATTTATTTAAAATTCCAATTTGTTTAGAATTCCAATCTATGACGGTTAGTCACCAATTATTCCCAGAAAACATCCATTGTTCTGTCACTGCCTAGGGCTGTCCTGGCTACTGAATTAGGCAGTTGGAATGTGTTGTCCGCTGGAAGAATGTATGCACTGCCCTGAATGCCTAGCTTTGGAGGGGGACTTAGGCCTTAAGAGAACTGGGGCCATGAGAGAAAGCTGCCCAGAATCACAAGGCCATGGATTTGCTCCCAGCCTCAGCAATGCTTATCACATAAGTGGGGATAAAACACTTGGTACTGCTTCAGTCCTGGCCTTCTGGGTGACACCGCAGCAGTCTCCACTCTACACGCCACCTCGCTCAGTTTGCTCTATACACACTGTCTAGTTCTTCTTGTTCTGTAGCATGCCAGCCTGTTCCCATCTCAAGGTTTTTGCCCTCTTTCCTCTGCTTAGTCATCTGTCCATTTGCCTGCTACAGAACTCATACCACTTATCACTATCTGGAATTTTATTATATATTCATCCGCCCCACTATGACCTCCATGAGAGCAAGGACTTTTATTCATATGGCATCCCCAACGCCTAGAAAAGTACTTGAAGATTAATAGACATTTGTTGAGCAAAGGAATGAAGGAACAGTGTTGCCACTCACTGTGCCAATGTCAATGGAATGCTGCACTAACATAAGTACTACAAGTCCTGCATTATTCCCCCAGGAGGATACACAAACCTGAGTTGTTTTCATTCACCCACTAAGGCACATTGCACAGGGTCCCTTGTACATGACCAATTCCTGGCTTCTAGCAACGTCTGTCTGTTATGTTCTTACTTCATCAGCCTGGAGAAGTTATAGGCTACCACTTCCCTTTCATTAAAACATTTCGATCCTTAATATGTCCCCTGGAGAACCAAAGAGTATCTTCCATGATTGAGTTTTCTCTGTTAGAGACTATTTACTGTCCATCAGAAAGATTTGTTAGGATTCCTGGCTACCTTCATAAATTGCTAGTTCCAGGTAAGAATAGGAACCATGAGGAAGAGGAAAGCATATGGATTGACATCAGACAGTGAGAGCTGGAATGAACCCCGGAGTTCATCTACTAGCCCAGGGCCTTCATTTTAACAGTGAGAAAACAGACCCAAAGAGGACACATAACTTAACTGAGGCCACAATCAGAGAAGAAAAGGGGACAGACTGTAAGTTTCCACCACACAAAAGCCTCTTTAGGCCAGGGCAAGCTTCTGTTTTATAAGTTCCAAGTAAAAATATGCACCTGTTGCTTATATTAACTGTTTACTTTTAGGTATTTCCAAGTAAGACCTTAATGTGATATTGGGTGAGAGTGGAGGAAAGATGGGTGAACTGATTAAAAGTATTCAATTGGTGGTCAAATATCATCATCCTATTATAGATAAAGGACTCAACAGTAGTATCTCTATATATATAAAACCCTAATATGCAAACAGACTGAACTGTGGGACAACCGGTTCTGCGCGTTGGCAGCAGCAGGTGGCAGCGTGTGGAACATGGCGGGCACCAGCCACGGCAGCATAGTGAGCAGGGGTACAGACCAACGTGGGGTACCGGTTGCTGTCATTGGGGCGGGCCTCTGGTGGTTACTAAAATTTCTTTGCTCCTGCGTTCCACAATCCTGCCTGGCACTCGCACCTGCTGCCAGCTCCTGGCACTGGCCCCGAACGCTTGGCACCATCTGCAGGTAAGAGCAGCAGCTGCCAGTCCCGATCTCCGTCTCCCCCTGCTCCTGAGTGACAATTGGGCCACCAGCTGTTGTTTGCACCTGCTGATGGCGCTGGCCCTGCTAACACCCGCTCCTGGCACTAGCCCCAATTACTCTGAGCCATCAGTGGATTCGAGTGGGACCAGTGCTGTCAGCGTGTGGGGGTGGTGGTGGCAGGAGCTGGGCTACCGGCAGAGAGGGGACCAGGCAGGGGCACAGAGGATGAGCTGCAACCCGCACCTGTGCCCACAATTCCTTTTAAAGTGCACAAATTCGTGCACTGGGCCCCTAGTATACTAGTAACACACACTGAAACGAGAGAAGCATGGGGCATATGCAGAGGCAACTAATCTACAATGTTGCATTTACTTTGGAAATAACAATAGACTAGAAAATGCTAAGGTCATTTTCTAACTAAGTAATTTGTTGTTTATATAACTCTTCAGATCAAATGATTTCAGAAATACCAGAGGGAGAGCATAAAACGGAATGTAATCAAAATAACTAGTTTAGCCCTAGCTGTGTTGGCTCAGTGATAGTGCATCGGCCTATGGACCAAAGGGTCCCAGGTTCTATTCTGGTCAAGGGCATATTCCCCGTTGCAGGCTCGATCGCCAGTAGCGGGTATGCAGGAGGCAGCAGACCTATGATTCTCTCTCATCACTGATGTTTCATGTAACTTTCTCCCCTCCACTTCCCTTCCTCTCTGAAATTAAAAAATATATATATATACACACACACACACACACACACACACATATATATATATATATATATATATATATATATCTTTTCTTAAAAAATGTCTTATTGTTAATCTTACTTGCTGGTTAAAAAAAAATTCTCATTTTTAGCAGAACAAAGTATGTTTTCTTAAAGGTATTTTTTTTTTTTTTTTTTTTTTTCCCTAAGAAAATCCTAACTACTGAAGTAGGGGACAAAAGATTGTAAAACAAAAATATTTTCTGAGCATCTAGTTAGATGCTATTTTTATTAAAACCCTACAAGTGAGAAGATAACCACTATACTTAATTACTGGTTTCAGCTCCACCTCACTTAATACATAACAATTAAAAATTAAAGAAAAAATTTGGTAAGCATATATTTTGAGGGAAAGAGTACACAGTAGAGATACAAATTAATAAGTACATGTGCCAGATAAATTTCTTTCTTACTTCCAAAAAAGGAGTTAGAAAATTTAAAGTAAAAGACAAAGCAAGAATATAATTAAAATTCACATGGAAGGAAATTAAAAGCTACAGAGGAAGAATGAGAAATAAACAAAACTCTCAATTATTACAATTATTATATCTGAGTATTAGATTTGCTGGAAACTGAAGCCAAAATGGGAAACGTAACGTTCACATAATTCTTCTCTAATAAAAAGAAAGCATGCTGGTTCATGAGAGGGACCTCTTACTCTCCCTCCTCCTCTCACCCTCCCTCCCCTCCAGAACTAAATTCTAGAAAGAAATCTTGTGAAAGAAAACTTGAACAAATGGATAATGGATTCGATGATGTATTTGTAGAAGCAGCACAAATGTTCATGGCACACTCAATAAGAGCAAAGAAAGCCTTCCTCCAAGGTCCAAAGATCCTGTTTTTCTTTTTCCCCCTTTAAAAACTGTGTATTTTATCTCACTGAAGATATAAATATGAGGTGTCACCTATGAACCACCCAGAGGAGTAGACCAAACAGCTAGTGCCTCCCTGACTGCATACAGGGAGTCCCCCCCAAATCGGGCAACTCTCCTAGGTGCTCACAGACAACCAGCAAAACTGGAGTGAAAGATCTCAAAACTCTGGTGGTTCACAAGCCTTGCAGTTAGAAGACTTCATTTTTATTAATAAAATCTGCCAATGAGTTCAATTATGTTCCTAGAATCCCTCTGTCACTGCTCTGGTTAATTTTGCTTCTGGAGATGTTTGGGGTGGAGGTGGGGCTGTTTAAAGGGACTTGGAATGGCAGCTTTTCACAATCAAAGTCAATGGACACTGCCTGCCTACTTAAATACTTCTTCAAGTGAGGAACAGTATCAATGAACTCACCTTCAGAATCTCTTCAACACAATGGGCTTCATTGGAGTAGGTCTGCTGAAAAAGAATGGGAAAAAGAAAAAGTTAGTGCACACAAACAACAAAACACAACTGGAGTATTAGTAGAGCAGGTATTAACACAGCAACTCTCTCTTAAGTAGAATCACCTTGGGCCTACCTCTTGCTAGGTAAATATTAGGAATACACATTCTGGATGAAATAAGACAAAGAGAGTAACCTGACTTAATCATGGGGTACTAATTATGGGCTCCAAGTCAAAAGTTTCCAATGGAAAATATATATAGTAAAGAAAATTAGTATATTCTTAAATCTAGGGGAATAATGAATTTAACAAAAGTAGAGGAAGAAAGAGATAAAATCAGTGTCACAGTTTGTTCCTTCATAGCAAGAGCTGTCCAGTGAGCCAAGCTATATTAACACGAAGATGTGGATGATCCCACATTAGGACTAGTATGTACCCACACAGTCAGGAGGCCAACCTCCAATTAAGGATAGATTTTTTGGCAATATTTTAACCTGCCAAAAATTCATTTTAAAGTTAAATGTCTTGCTCTAGCTGGTTTTGCTCAGTGGACAGAGCATCAGCCTGTAGACCAAAGGATCCTGGGTTCAATCCCCAGTGGGGGGCATGCATGAGGCAGCCAATCAGTGATTCCCTCTCTCCCTCTCCCTTTCTCTCTGAAATCAATAAATATATTTTTTAAAAGCTAAATGCCTCTAGCCCTACTCAAGTCAGCATTTTGACCTTATATATACATATTATATACACATATACACACAAATATGTATGTACACACACACACAAAAACAAATGTATAGTATTTCCCCAGAGAAAGACCTTAAGGAGAGAGATTACCTAGTGTCTTGGAGAAAAGATCCACTACTTATACCTCTTCTTTATGCCCAGCTAAACCAGCGGTGGCTGCGGTGGTAGTACTACCACACAGACAATGTCTAGGAAATATCATCTTACAGACTTTATATTTTTAAGTGCAGAATAAATGGAAAAGTTAAATATAAAAAAAAGAAAAACCCAAACCAAACCTCTCCTTAACCAGAGACATGAAACAAAACCCATGACTTCATGGTTTTCAAAGGAACAGTAACTTCTGATGTGTGTCAATTCCTGAGCCAAGTGCCCTGGGCAAGTTCCATATAACACAGCCCCTCCCGTTGCTGTCACTGCTGTGCAAAAAGCACTGATCTGCTAGGCAATTGGGTGCAGTATCTGACTCACAGCTAGAGGAGACAGAAATGGGCTCTTTTCCTGGCTCTTGTTCCTAATTTAAGTGCAATTTAATACAGAACTGGCTGCTAGTGCCTGAATTAAGAGTTTTATAAACCTATTTCCCTTATCCCAGTTTATTCTAAGAAACGAGAAAAAAACAAAACACAAACATACAACATTTACAAGTGTTCTGCAATGGAATCTAATGGCATGTCAAAATTCAAATGCGATCTGACCTGCCTGGGTTAGATTTTAAAGCTGTATCCTATCTAATAAAGAGAAAATATGCTATTTGACCCTCACACCATTGCAAAGATGGTGGCACTCACAGCCAATAAAGAGGAAATATGTTAATTGACTGTCACACCCTCAAAGATGGCAGCCCCAAAGCCACAAGATGGCGGTGCCCAATCCCCTCAGCCCTGCCGGGGTGGCAGGCACACAGCAAGGCTGGGCCTACCCCCATGTAGGCCCAGCCGCTCAGTGAGCCTCCCCCCAGTCCCCTCAGCCGCCCAGGGCCACCCGATGCTCAGGTAACTAGGTGTCACCTTCCCCTGCTCACCGGGTTACCTCCTGCCCCTGAGAGCTCCCATACTGTGAGAGGGGGCAAGCCGGGCAGAGGGACCCTCCCCTCCTCCAGTGCATGAATTTTCATGTACCAGACCTCTAGTATTATTATAAGGAATGGGTTTTATTGAAATGTCTCCAGTTGTTATGTTTTGAGAAAGGGTCTGGAAATTAGAATATAACAAAAAAATCATGGATATCCTTTTTATCTGCTGGTCCCCCCTGACCTGCCTTCAGACATTATTGCATGTCAACAACTAGACTTGCTCACCCATTTTTTTTTGTTTTCAAAACCATTAAGGGAAGGCTAAAAACTGAATCAAGCATTAGTAACCAAACATTTTAGCAAAATGAGTGCCATTTTGACCTCCGTGTAAAATGTAACTATATTCTATGGTCTCAATTTTTCACACGCATCATTAGGAAAGATACTAATTAGAAGTTGAAATAATAGAACAGAGCATATGACTAACTAGTCCCCTCATCCTACCTGTTGCTTGAATGGGAAGAGGAATCCAATGAAATATGCGACAATCAAGGTTGCAGGCTTGATCCCCCAACAGGGCACATATAAGAATCAACCAATGAATGCAAACTTAGTGTAACAACAAATCTCTCTTTCTCCCTCAAATCAATTTTAAAAATTTTATTTTTGAAAACTCTGGCAATCGATGAAAAAGTGAAGTATGTTGGAATTAGGGCAAAAAGATTTGCCCTCTGCTCCCAACAGAATGAAGTAAAAAAGCTACTACAGAACACTTCAGGACACTACAAACCTTTCTAATCTTCATAATTACTCCAGTGGTCAACACATAGCCAAGATGTTTCATGTCATTAAAAGATTTGTGTGTGTTTTTTGCCTAAATTTTTATTACATGAGATGAACCTAAAATGAAGAAATTTTTCTTTGGCTTGTTTATTGGTATCAGAGTAAGACACATATTGCTAAACAGTCACCATATAACCTATTAAAAAACTAAATAAGTTCTGAGATTCAAGCATTAATTGGTTAATTTACTGTAAATTTCCCTATGAAGTTCATTACGGAAGTAGGGATGTTTCAAAAGGGTTTGGGGATGCCATTTCAAATACCTGAGGTTATATAACATTTATAGATCTCTAAATGGCACTGTTTATAATGGCAAATAACCAGAAATGATCAATAACCAACAACAGGAGTCCAGCTAAAGACCTTTACAGTACACCCATCAGCATGCTGTACAGACTTCAAATAATGTCAATATGTGTGTTTGCATGGGAAAATGCTAAGACATGTATTTAAGTTTTTCTTCAGACAATTCATACTTGAGAAAAATTAAAAAATAGTAAAAGAAATTCCCACAAACCCTTCGCTTGAATTCACCAAATGTTGGCATTCTACCATGTTTGCTTTACAGTTTTCTCTACCCGCCCCATCTACACTGAACTGTTTGAAGTAAGTCAGAGAATTAGAGGTAATGACCCTGTACAAGACACATTTTAAGACTGCACTTAAAAGAGGGGAGGTAAGAAGTAGGATCCCATTTTATGTTCCATCTACCTGAGACTCATAGCACTACTTACTCCTCCCCCAATCAATTCAGACAATGAAACTAGAATATAAGCATTTCAAATGTGTTTGCAGAGAAAGATCTGGAAGGACAGGCTTCCTTGTTTAATCAAGTATACCTTGGCACCTCCGAGTCTGCCACTGGGAGGAGACGGTCCAAAAAGGGAGGGGTGGATCAACACCCCATTGTGGCCTAATCCCTTTGTAAAATCCACTTTCCCCTGGCTCTCCAGCTGATGCTGCCACTCCCACTCGGCACCACCCTCCAGGCCCCCACCCCCTAACACTGAGGCCAAAGAGTAAAGTGTCAGTCTCCTTGAGGCACAGCTGAGTTTAGGCTGAAGATCTTCAGGTAAAATGTCCTCAAAGAATAAGAGATGATAAAAGGCAGCTACAAAAACCTATGGTAGCTGCATGAATCAGAAGGCTCTCGTTTGCAGGGCACTTACAACTACAAATGTCACTGTTGTCTCCCACCCTCAGTGTCCAGGTTCCTGAAGGAGACAGCGCTCCCCTCCTAGGGTCCTGTGGGTAGATCTCACTTCCCTGTGACTCAGTGTCATTCCAAGAGGAGTGAGGAATCAGACCTAGGCCTGAAGTTTCTGTACTGAGATCTCCTCACTTCCCCAATAGGGTATGGCCTTAACACAAGAACCATAATTCTATGCAATTTTTTAAAATGATAGCAGTGGCCCCGGCCAGGTAGCTCAACTGGTTAGAGTAGGGGTGTCGAACTCAATCAGAGAAGGGGCCAAAATCTAAAGTCCAGCCTAAATTGCGGGCCGAATGGTTTACTAACAGTCATAAACTGTCATTGTGATGGAAACACAGCGGAGTGCAGTGATGACAGCGCGGTACAGGCCACATTGCAAGGCCTGGCGGGACGGATTTGGCCCGCGGGCCTTGTGTTTGACACATGTGGGTTAGAGTATTGTCCCGAGACACCAGGTTGTGGGTTTGGTCCCTGATCAGGGCACATATATAAAAAGCAACCTATGAATGCATAAATAAGTGGAACAACATACTGATGTTTCTCTCTCTCTCTCTCCCCCAACCCTCATTAATCAATTTAAAAAAATAAAAAATAATAGCAGCTACTTATTGAACACATATTGTACTTGATATTGCATTCAACTCTTTCCATACTATTATTTCCTCCATTTGGCATCATCCACTGTAAGACGCAACTTCATTAGCTTGGCGGGGGAGAAAGGTACGCATAGCTCCATATACACCCCTTAGTCCAGAAACTTCAGACCTGAAAAGGTAGCAATGCTGGCCTTGGTCTGATCCCTCAGGCCTCTTGGAATGACACTGTGTAATCATAGGGAAGTGCACCAAAAATAAGATATGAACTCAAAATAAGATATGGTAGTAAATGTCTTCTAAGTGTGACATGGTTTGTTTTAATAAGCTAAAAACAGCCGGATGGAAGAAACAGACCTCACCACTGAGACCAGGAGGCTCTCCCAATACTGTGCTTTAAGTCTCTCAAGTTTCAACAGAGCATCACTTTTATAACAATGCTATTCTCAAAAAGGCTTAGTTATCACTAACCAGGAACTGCAGGGAGCACAAAGGCCGCACGTTGAGGAAGGAAGCCAGCAGATCTTGGATTCTGGTTCTGACTCTGCAATCCTGGATAAGATTCAACTTGTTTGGGACTCCTTCCTCATGGCGGCGAAGGCACAT